GTTCAGCAGATGGATCAATCCACAGGCTTAGCTGGGTCTTAGAAGGAATGTGGAAAAACTGCATTGCAGAGATGCATCTGGAATTGGTGCAATTCTACAGAGAGTGCCTAAAGCTTCCCAAAGTACTACTGGTATGCGAGGTAGGACCTAAAAGCCAGACTTTCCAAATTAATTACCATACACTGATCATTATAATAATATAATATTTATCACATATAATTATAAAAAACCCATTGTTTACATCAGAGCTTTGTTTGACATTATCTTGCAGAAAGTCATATAAACAAATCTTGAGAACTCTTATTTACAATACTTCCTTCTTGGGAATGATTTTAACCAATTTTCAACTGCAACAGAGTGCCACATAACTAACATCCACTGGGATTTTAATTTCAGTGTATTTGCTTTCACAAATGGCAGTCAGAATGAGCACCTACCCTGGCACCACGTAACGGCACATGGAGGAGGCGAACTGGCTCCTGCTGCCAGGCCAAAGGGACAGGGAAGCAGCACCTCAGGACTACCCAGTCCTTCTGCTATTCCTTCTAAAAGTTTCCATCTTGATCAGTTATGAGCAGCATGATAGGACTAAAATACCCTAAAAAATAAACTCCTTGGCCTTCAACAACCTCTCGAGGGCAGTGTGATAGCACAGCATCTTGGCAGCCAAGGCAACACCTCAGCAGCCGGCCAGACATGGAGCAGGAGCTCCATGCTTCAACAGCAGGAGAGGGGAAACAGCCTGAGAAAAGCAAGACAGTAGAGTGGAGGAAACAGCCAGCTGCTATAGACCTGGGTCCCATGCAGGTCAAAAAGAAAAGGGATAGGATCATTCCAGAACAGTGCTCTAGGGGGAAAAAAGCAAAAACCAAGCAAACGACTCACACCAGCCTCAGGAAACTAGTTGGTGCTCCACAGAAGATGCTGGGGGACTTTATCTAGCTGAGATACCCCCACTGCCTCATCTTATTTTGCCACCCTGGCTTGTACAGAGGCCTCCAGCTGCCTGTCCCCATGCTGGGGTAGGTCCCACCAGCTCCTCCCGGCCCCAGAGGGACCCTGGCCCTGGCAGGGACTGAACACCTTTCCCTCCTGACTTACTGCAAGAGTGTTAAGGTCCACACCTCACAGCCAGCTCCCACAACTTCCTTTCTAAAATGTGCTTTAATTTCCTAAGTTTGTAAAACCTTTACTTTCTTGGAGTGGATGACAAAAAAAAATTAAATATTGGAAGAGATAAACCTCTAGCAAAGGTGACTGCCATGGAAAACTGTAGAAACACAGTCCAAGTATCAAAGAGCCAACCAACCAAAGAACAGAAGACTTAGAAAAGAGAACATAAAATACTCATATTAATGCCCAATTATCTTGATGCAGCAGTATGGTCTTTTTCTAACAGATATAAAAAAACAATCATGTCTTTACTTGGAGTGTATTTGTCATGACCATCAACTAAATATTCCATCCATTACCTAAGACTAAAAAGAAACACATTCCTTACTTCTGATTTTCCCCAGTCAGAGAACGATTAGCCACTCAGTGCCTTTCTTTCCTACATACCATTCACATGAGCAGAGCATTCCCCCAAGGAACAGGTGGACCAGCCTGTGCTTTTGTTTCCAGATGAGAAACACGATACCCACTTTCTTAGGACAGCTGCAATAACTCTGTCCTTTAAACTACTGACTGACTTAAATAGCTCACTATTAAAGCTTGCACACTGGAGGTGCAGATGAGTTTTCAAAGGAGGTAAGAAACAGCTAAAGATGGTGCAGGTTTCCTCCTGAAACAGAGCTGACCATGCTGGATGGAGACAATGCAGGGGGTGTCACCCTGGCATCCTCAGCTGCTTACACTGAGTTTCTGCTCTCAGGTGAGCAGTCCCACGAACATACAAATGAATGGTGGGGGGATATCATTGTTCCCAAGGAGAACACGTGGAAAAGGATGAAAAATAAAGATTTAAAAAAAAAGAGCAAGAGTCTTTGTCTCATCTATCATTACAGATGGGATCGCGTGTTCACACAACCACCAGAACAAAGTGGCTCACAAACAGACTCTGGTCCCGCTTCCAGCTGCTCCTGAGATATCCCAGCTTTCACCAACAGCCAAAGTCCAAGCCCTTACAAGGGACAAACATGCCACCTGCCCCCCTTACCATCTCTGCCAGGGTGGTGGTTGTTGCTCCTTGGCAGCCAAATTAATCCCCCTTTTCCTGCTCTTGCACTACAGAAAAAACAAAATAACCTAGCAGGGAGGTACGAAAATACCCCACTACTGTGAGAAAAGCAGCTCATGTGGAAGGGAGAAAAGGAAAAGCTGTTCAAACCAGCACATTTCCAATGGGATGCTGGTTACCATGGGGTTCAGCCAACCTTAAGCAACATGAGAACTGAGGATTGTCAAGGGATTTTATGAAAGGCTGTAGTTCACTTTGACAAATTTTCACTTGTTATATTTACAAGCAACATCTCGAGGGTCTATAGCTACACTAAACCAGCTGAAGAAGTCTAGAAGCTCCTCTTCCTGTAATTCAGCTATCTTTGAAAGGAG